CGGGAGTTGGTTGTGTTCCGCTTGAATAAAGGTTTTTATATGTTGCGTATCTCTACGCTAGCTTGGCTGAATGCGTTGTTGGACAACATATATGCAGCTTCTTTGAATTTTCTCCTGAGCCAGTGTTCTTCCTTGTTGATGATTTCAGCTTGAGCCTACTGGATGTAATATTGATGGGTTGAAACATGCTCTGCTATTCCTGATTTGCTGGTTTCTCCTTGCTGTGTGTGTTTCTTATGCTAAGAGGCCATTGAAAGTTCGCATTGCCGAGCATAAGAAACACACAGATTCTTTCTGGTTACCATTTCGAATCAATTTATATCATATTAGACAATGAAATAAAATATATTTTGAAAAGTACACCCAATTGTAAAATTTAATTCAATGTGTATCGAAATGGGAATACAGTTTTACTAAGGACAGCACGATGGAGGTTGAAGATTTCACTTGGCGTGAAATGTATCGAACTTTAGTATTCAATCAGGAAAAGTAGCATGTTTAATCGAAATTAACTGTTGTTTTCGCAGACAGTAGGTCGCCTAGAGTTGTTCCGCATAGTCTGAAACATTTGAGGTTGTGGACCACGCAAACTGACCACCCTGTGGTTGCCTTATAATATGCAGGTCAGGTCAGATTCACCAATGTATTAGACTGATGGCCAACATTATGCTACGGGCATTGGACCTCAAAAAAATTATAACACACTTCGTTACTTCGATGACAAAAAGTGGGTTTAACTGGTACCTTCGATAACATCGGTAATTTATTCACGGCTTACTAAGAAAAACTCGACGTTATTCTTGAATGAGTTTAGTCGACAACCTGTCCAGTATCAACTACTGCCTTTAGGTATATCTTCAAAATAGTAGCTGTCAAATGTATCAGTCGAATAATGTAGTAAAATCACCTTTCTAATGATGCTTAGGCCAACTAAAATTGTCAATTTCAGCCGCAAAGAAGATGACATTATCATCAATAAAGTCTGACTACATAATCAAATGAAATCATGAGAAGAGGTCATTTATTACAAACAAACGAAACCACTTCAACCATCGATGTAATAAAACCGAAGACTCAAACCTTGAATATATTATCTGCTGTGTGGACAACTCAAACTCTTTGTCTGTTGCCTCTCCATCGTCTGTCACAGTCGAAGCCTGTCACAGTCGTAGGCATGAATCCTTCATACTATAGTCAATAAAACCGAAAAATAATTGGACAATCATTTTCAGACGTGAAAATTCACCATCTTCTATAAGTTTCATCAATAGCACAACTTAACTGAATAGTTATTATGATACCTCTTGTGTTCAGTGATCTGAATTAATGTTACTGCAGTTTCGTCCTATAAGGACATTTTCAAATAAAAACAATAAACTGAAATTAATTGATAATATTAGGCCGTATATATCTTAACACCACTGTAGATAATAACAGAGGTACTCAACTTAATTGAATACCTGATTTTTTTTTACCTGTGACAATGTGGGTATAGTCTATCCATTCCCAATTGGAACGGCAATAAGAATAAGAGTAGAGTCATAAACATTTTTTGCCTGTGGCTCCTTGTCGCTCAGATAGTTAGTAACTGTGCTATCAAATGTAGTGGAGGAGTAAAGGCTCGGCTAGCTGGACTGGCTAAATACTAATTTTTTGTCTGTTTCGCAATATTTCTTTATCAGTGTCGTGTGTTCGTGGGGTTAGGTGAGGTAGTGAGTGGTTTTGCAAACCGATTTTTGATAACTTTTTCTAGAGATTACCCTAACACCAAACTGATATTTTTGCACTCGACGCGCGTTTCGCTAACAAGGTTAGCATCTTCAGGAGAAGCAAATTGATACTGAATCTAAAGACAAGGGTTAGCTGTTTATATACCTGAAGTTTTTTGGTCCAATGGGGACTTGTGTTTTTGGGTTCTTTCATTAATATGGCTTTCTGGAGACCATTTGAAACAAATGATATCATTACGTGTGAGGAATCTGTGTCATTCGACAGGGATCCGGAATTTGTAAATAAAGACTTACATGTTCAAGTTAGTTCAGCGAGAACTTTTAAATATTTTTGAATGTTTGAAGAAGGAACACTGTCACACTTCATAGAATGCTATTGTAAATATAATATGCGAGTAAACGAAACTATCTCGTTCGACAGGTCTTCGAGTCATTGAAATAGGGGATGTCATTGACCATGCAATGAAACGAAAACAAAGGAATAAAAAATTCGCAAACATTGATGGTGGTAAAAAAATGTGATTCGGCGAACAATTTATGGTATATATTAAAAAATGAAATACCAACCTTGGAAATGATCTGGTATAAATTACTCGACTATCTCGATTACAATTACAAATCTTTAGAAACTCTACGAGGTGTCTTATTGTCTTGTGGTTTCAAATATAAACAATCGGATGGTCATAATGGAATCGACACGCATTGTTCAACTTCGGCAAGAATATTTGAGGCGAATGAAAAGCTACTGAGAATCCAGCAATATAATCTACCTCGACTAAACTTGGTTTGACACCCATGAAGTTCTTATGATGTACTGTTTGGAACCTTTGGTGTAGTAATGAATATTACTGGAGTTTTTTCCCCAACACCAAATCGTTATTTTTACACCTCGACACGTGTTTCGATCACTAAGTGATCATCTTCAAGAGGAAATAACGATTTGGTGTTGGGGAAAAAACTCCAGTAATACCCATGAAGTTGTCAAATATGACTGGATAGACGAAACCAAGTATTGTGCTTTGAACACAACTTCTTCAAGGGGAAAACGTATTGTAATTTTGCATGCCGGGAATGAAAGTGGTTTCGTATCTAACGCTTTGCTTCTGTCGGCCAATAATATACAAAATTCGTCTGCTGATTACCACGAAGATATGACTGCGGCTTTATTCGAAACCTGGTTCAGTGAGCAGCTTCGTATCATTCTCGGTTATTGACTACAATACCAAACAATAACACAAAAAAAGCAGATATTGTTAATTTCATGCGAAATCATGACATGGAAATACCCGAAAAGATTCCAACGAAAAAGGTATTACTGGCGACCATAAAACAACGTAATTTCAAAAAAGAGTATATTATTGATTCGATGTGTGATACACGTGGTCATATTCTCTTACGTTTGCCTCCATACTATTGTGTGTTCAATCCAATTGAAATGGTTTGGGCCACAATGAAAGAAAGCTTGCGAAAATGTAATCAGTGACCGACTTTGAATGCTGTAGTGCTTGACAATATAAGGCGAGAGGTGAATGAAGTAGGTAAAAGTGATGTGTGGAAGAACTATGTGGCCCACGTTATAAAAGAAGAGAACAAATATTATGTGCAAAGTTTCATAAATCCGATCGTTATTCAACCCGATGATGATTCCACCTCATCCGAATATAGCGAAGAAGAATTTTTATTTTTCTATCAATTTTGTTGGCCTCTATTATTTTGTAAATATATGTTTGACAAGAATTCGGTGTGATTATTTGTGTTTTCATTGTATTTTAGAGTTTTCGACTCGAAAATCAACTACCTTAAATTTCGAAGTTTTTCATAATTACCCATGGTGGAAAAATTCAGTGGAGATAACTTTTTCATGGGGTGATCAATTGCTAGGATTGTAAAAATAAGTAACTGAAAAACTACTACTTAAAAATAATATGCCAATGCCTATGTGGAGGCGGGAATTCCTTCTCTGTGCTGATCCAATTGGTATTGAATATACTATACGCTAATTTGAAAACCGATGCGTAAACTAGATCGATTTGATCACTTAGCAGATTACATCCGCAGTGCTTATGCTTATGAATTTCAAAGGATTCCAAGTAATTGACTGTTCAACCCTTGCTTGCATAATGCAAAATTTTCGTATCATTTAGATTCGGAAACTTGTGGTTGTATTCCAAAACGTCGAATCATTTTTACTTAGTCTGAAGGACCTTCCATGTTCAGCATACTGTTTTGAGAAAACACTCTTACACTCCGGACACTTAAACTCATAAACTCCAGATTTCTCCAACTTGTTCATAATAGTGTTTATGTGGGAAAATGTGGTCAAAATTTTCCCAAACAAAACATGAAAGGTCCTTCAGACATAAAATAAAAACAACAGCATAACCCATTGAATTGTAAAATGGAAAAAACTAATTACAGTCGATCTAAAGTACGGGGAAGGAAATGGGGTGATTTTTAGAGATTTTACTGAATCTAGGCCTTTTATTTAAAAATATTCCATTTGAAAGTTGTAGATAATACTTTGGTATGAACCACTTTCCACATTTTTTTATGAAAATTGGACGAATCGGTTTATAGTATATGATTGATTTCTACAACAGAATCACGACATTTGATGGAAAAAACCTGTTTTGAAAATTTTGTTCTGACGAATTTTTCCATAACAATATCTTTTTTTTTCTCCTGCATCATTTGAAAGATGTTTCAATAAAAGTATTGATAGTTCGATACGGCTTTTCATCGAAATAAAATGTTCAATTGAAAACTAAATTTTAGATTGTATTCAAAATAGGTTTCACTGAAGTTGTATTTTAACGAAATAATTTCAAAAGAAATGTTTTCAGAACATGGATATATTCGTTTGAATATAAGTTTGTTTTAGGTTTGAAATTATATTGATATGTTTAAAACAAAATTTTCAATAAAAAAACTTACAATATATTTGAATTTAAATATAGATGAATAAAATGTTAGCTTTTCAGTTGATTTGAGGAAAACAACGACATTTTTGGAAGAAAAAACAAGCACCTGAAACCTATTTTTTCAGTATGTCTGTGAAAAACAATGTTCTCTCTAAAATTTAAAAACATTTCATTACCTATACCTTGGTTCAACTTATTTTTTTCTTCAATGAGTTCAATATTATTTTTTCAATAACTATGTTTATGCTGTTATTGATTTTTCTCTTTGCAAAAGTTATTTGCGTTAGCCTAAAAATGCTTTCATACAAATCGGTAACAATGCAACATTGTATGATTTTTTTCTTTCCAGGAACTTGGGACAGGTTCCCCAGACGATCTAGACGATACTGCCCCCCATGTGGGTATAAAATTGGGATGGATACAAGGTGTTTTAATACCATGTCTCCTCAACATTTGGGGTGTCATGTTATTCCTTCGACTGGCATGGGTCGTCGCCGAAGCCGGTATTGGTAAGTTTTAGTTCTATCTGGTATTAACTGGTTATTACTGTGGTTCACATCGCATGTGAAGAACTCGACGGAATTTCATGAAATGAATAATTAACGGTGTGATTTGTGTCTAGTGTACTTACGAAGTATTTGCAACTTTATGTGGTTATTATTTCGAAAATTAGAATTTCTGATGTGTAATGAGTACAACTCAATCACTGCTCACACAAAATTGGAATTTCTGATATGAAATAAGTACAACTCAATCACTGCTCACACATAATTGGAATTTGTGATGCAGAATGGGTACAAATCAATCACTGTTTACACAAAATTGGAATTTCTGATATAGAATGAGTACAACTCATGTAAGTGTCTTGGAGAATGGGTTTCAATTTATCTATACTACTAATCACTTTATTCAATATCGAAAACCAAACCAAGTTTATTGACCGTTCACCGGATCAACTCCAAGGAAGCATTGTTATCATCTGAAAACTATATTGAGAAGTATAAACATTTCCTTAATAGAAGTTAATGCGTTTCGATTAATGCAAACGACATACGGGCAGTGTGTCTAAATATAATCAGAGATCAAATATTCTCTCTGTGGGTCATATATTTCAGAATGGAATTATTGGTTCAAGTTCAAGGCAATAAAGATCCCCTGTTGATCAGAAGACTCAGCACTTTGTAAGCTTTTTCGGTGCTTTTGGAACTGAAATTTTTCTACATAATCCATGAGGTGCTAGTAGGTGTCTTCTCTGAAAATGAATAGTTTGTTAATGAATATAAAAATGTTTTTACAACAGAAGATCAAGCCACCTACCGAGAAATAAACCAACTTGAATCGCAAGTTCAAACAAAACCAATCCACTCAAAAACATTTGGATTGAGAAATTTTACTTTCTCAGGCTTGTCAGTTGTTAGTTGAGTCGTAGTTAAGCCTAGCACAACTGATTACGAGTCAAAACAACGTTGTGTGGTGATGAAATTCGATTGATTTGTCTGTGGGCTCTGGTTTAGTCTATTGTTGTAAATTCAAAATGATTATGCAATAATGGTATTATATGCCAAGGTTTAATAAAGAGAATAATTGTGAGGTAATTGTCGTGGACATAATTGAAGCTAGACAATTTTCAACACCAGTCTCATGATTATTTATTTTATATTCTCAGGATCACTGTGTTTCTAGACCATATATGTGACAATTGAGTAAGGATTTGAGGAGTAACTTGTTGAAAATACCAGCTGCCCGACCTGGTCCGGGTTCCTATTTTTATAGGTTCGGAACATCATAGGTCATTGTGGATCAATTGAGAAAGTGGTATGAAGAAAAGTTCCGGTGTATACATGAAATGCGTCCTTTGGAAGATAGGAGTAGATTTTGCTGTCTAGAAATTTTTGAGAACAGTCCAGAACATTCAAGAGTATTTGAAAGCTTTGCACAACATTACAAAATATCCCGGAATATTCTGGAACGTTCGGAAACATTCTGGAAAATTCCAAATCATTGTGGACAATCGAGGGAGTTACATGGTATGGGTTACATGGTATGTTTTTCTTTATCTTACATCCCACTTCATCAAGAAGAGAAGACATTTTTTCAGATATTTTCCAGCATAGTCTCCTTCCAACTCTACAGACTCCCAGATGCTCCCATCTCTGTAATCCGTCCAAATATTCCAAGTATTCGGCGTTTTCTTCTGCATAATAGTTGTTCACAAAGGTGATTGCCTCTTCATTTGACGAAAATATCTGCAGTTCAAACTATAATTCGTCAATATTTGCCATGACAATCACTGAGGTGTGAGACAGTGCGTTGTCTTGGTGAAACAGTATTTTTTTGCAAATGTGGCCGTTTCTCAGCTTGTCAAATAATGATGCGTAGTATGCTCCCGTAATGACTATTCTTCTTTGAAGATAATCAATTAAAATACTCCATGACTATCCTAAAAAATGGTCGCCATCATTTTCCCAACCGAAAATTTTTTTTCCTGTTTTGGAGCCAGTTTTCCTTTTGTAGTCCACTGTTTGGATCTATTATTGTTTGGGGCGTATAGTGGTGCATCTAAGTTTTAGCTACAGTAATCAATCGGCTCCAAAACTCGAATTTATTGCGCCTAAACTGCGCCAACAGAACGTTTGAAATGTTCATTCGGAAAAGATTCCGGTCTAACGTGAGCAAACGCGGCACCCAACGCGCGGAGAGCTTTCTCATGCCTAACTGTTGATCAGACATGTGAGAAACACGTTCTTTCGACATGTTCATAACCTCTGCTATCTCTCTCACTTTAATTTGTCAGTAGCTGCAGTTTTTGGAAGTCCCGAACATTCATCGTCTCTCAAGCTCTTACGGCTATGTTTGAATTCAGCTGCCCAAAATTTCACTGTGGTAAATGACGATTCAGAGTCACCATACACAAAATCCAACTCAGGCGTATTGCGTATTGCCTTCCAAAAACAAATATTTAATGACAGTTCGATACGCGATTTCGTCCATTTTCATAAAAACACTCATATTAACTCACTCAAATGACTATTACATAACAACTGCGCGTTCAAATGGTTGAAGCTTTCGTGAGGAACTGTCAACAGATGAACATCGAAATTGACTTATTCACGACTGCTGCTATATTCATGTTAAGGCTAAACAAAAATGTAACACCTAGATGATTCACCAATGATTCACTAAACTGATTCACTACGTGAAACAGAATTAACCCAAGTGCATCCTTTCTTTACGTGTTTCATAAGTTTGTAAGGCTGCTTGAATTTATTTTGGCACGCGATAATTCTTGATAATTCAAACTGTTTAAACTGTTAAAGGGCAATTATGATGTACATCGAATGTTAATTGCAAATAACAACATCATTTGTTGGGGATTAACACCATATTCGTGTAAATATCCTCCCACTCATATTATATGTTACCATTATTTAAAACTAGTTGTTGGCCGCGGCTTCGTGATATACCATTTTAAACAAATATTTTCAATATTTTTGCATTAACCCAAAACTTCAGATTTTTAACTTCAAAACTGACGACCTCGGAGGTGGAAATTCCTGTTTCCCTTTCTTGATGCTTATTTACGCTATACAAATAATCTACTTGCATATTTCAAGATTGTAGGTTCAGTATAGCTTTGGCTGTACGTTGATATTATAGTGTCAGTCAATAATGAGTGGTACCCACTCATACAATATTGAATAAACATCAGCAAAAATAAACTGAAAGGATTAGAATAAAATACGTTTTTTACGTTTTAACGCCTAAACAGCTCAACGGATTGAAATGTAAGTTGGTATATAGATAGATCATGACCTGGAATAACACATAGGGTAGGTTCCCACGGAAACGCAGGGAAAACAGCGGGGAACAGCTAGTATTATATAAGTGGGTACTTAGTCGTCAGTTTTGAAGTTGAAAATCTGAAGTTTTGGGTTAATGAAAAAATATTGAAAATATTTGTTTAAAATGGTAAATCACGAAGCCGCGGCCAACAACTAGTTTTAAATAATGGTAACATATAATGTGAGTGGGAGGATATTTACACGAATATGGTATTAATCCCCAACAAATGATGTTGTTATTTGCCATTAACATTCGATGTACATCATAATTGCCCTTTAACAGTTTAAACAGTTTAAATTATTATTTCAACAATTTTCGCGTGCCAAAATAAATTCAAGCAGCCTTACAAACTTATGAGTCACGAATTATATCGCCCGTTCCCATGTGAACCGCTGACCATGCTGAAGCAGAATCTCGCGATTCTGGGAAACTGATGTGCAAGCATTCTTATCTTCATGGGAAGAATACTTTTGTAATTCAGTTATAATTTTGCTCTCATACTGTTAACATCAATTTTTGTTAATAAAATTATATTAATTTTTTAAGTAACACGTGAATGAATTATGGATTTCCATCAAGAATCCACACGATGGTCTATTGCAGAGCCAAACTACGATATCGACCGTTTGCAAGCTTTGATTTTATCTAGTTGCCTTGCAGTGAAAGCTGCAGAGTGATATTGAAAGCCATTTCTTATTCGGCGGTCAATCTCGAGGTTTGGCTTTGCAACAGACTGCCATGGGAACTATCATTTATCTTGGATAAACAATGTTTGAGCTTTCTGTCATTCCATAGATGCCCTCGAGAACCCATGCCCATGAAACACGCAGATAGGCAGGTCAGTGTTTGATATAATTAAGCTGATGTTGTTTTCGTAACTAGATTTATCTTTCATATTTTGAAAATTAGGTAGAGTTCCTGAGAAATTTTGATATTATTCGGAAAATGAATCAAAATGATACCAACAGAAATGATACCTAAGTTTATTTCTCTAGTATCTTCAAAGCTAGAAAATTGCCGAACTTAATTGACTTCTGGAATATGCATCTGTCAGGAACTTAATGATAGCTTTGAATCAGGAGGAATGACAACATTTATAGTTCAACGTCAATATCAGCCTATTTTTCTTAAACAATAACATGTTTTTCTTATCAGTGAGTGACTCCCGATCAAACATCGTGAGAGCCCAAATGGTGGCTGGACAATCTGGACATAAATTGTGACTCCGGCCATGAAAATCTATGTCCTTATCAAAAAGTTTTCGAAAGTTGTACGAAGTGGGAAAATCTCACTGAAAAAATTAAAGGTTTGTTATCAATGTATTTCTGATGCTTGCTGTCGCTTTCAAGGATAAGCTGTGGCACATAAAGACAGTAAGAATCGCTTCCATTCAAGTGACTATCAGAGCCATAATAAATAAATAATAATTTAGTAATTTGATGATCATCAAATTATCAAAACTTGAATACGTAGAAAATCCAACTACAGCATATTGAATGAACATTACGGATTGAAAATTTGCTGTTAAAAATGCAGGTCCGTATTTGAAATTTCGAAGTTCAAGGTGCTAAAAGTCTGACGACACCCTGTATTGAAATTGTTTGACCATATCCTAATAGCACAATGAAAATTACAGCAGAAAAGTACATAGATTTTCAATTTTCTA